TATGTCTCATTCTTTTTCCTTTATCTCCCTTTTAAGCAAGAAAAAATGCAAAAATGAAATAAAAGTGAATAATAAAAATACTGTAGCGAAAATAATAGCAATGATAATAACACGATCACTGTCATCATCACCGCGATAACTACCCTAATTACCACAATCATCCCCATCATCATCAGTATCAAAAGGGACAACGAACCTAACCCCCCCCCCCTTTCTTCTCCCCCCCCCCCCCCCAGGAGTGGCCGCAGCCCCCCACCACCGCACGCGTCGCTTCCTGTACTCGCGGCGATACACCATCGAGGTTATGGTGGTGATTGACGGCAAGATGGCGCGCTACCACGGGAAGCACGTCGACCAGTACGTGCTCACGCTCATGTCGGTGGTGAGTTGCCCTCTCGTCGTTCTTCGTGCCATTTTGCTATTGTTATTATTATTATTATTATTATTATTATTATTATTATTATTATTATGTACATATATATGTTTATATGTATATATATATATATATATATATATATATATATATATATATATATATATATATATATATATATATATATATATATATATATATATATATATATATATATATATATATATATATATGTATGTATATATATATGTATGTATATATATATACATATATATATATATATATATATATATATATATATATATATATATATATGTATATATATATATATATATATATATATATATATATATATATATATATATATATATGTATATGTATATATATATATATATATATATATATATATATATATATATATATATATATATATGAAAAATAAAATAATGCAATCCCGTACTGATATATGTATATATATATATATATATATATATATATATATATATATATATATATATATATATATATATATATATATATATAGCAATCCACCCTGACGAGGCCTCGAACCTATGCCACTTCGGGTATGAAACTGGAGGGCCATATATATATATATATATATATATATATATATATATATATATATATATGTGTGTGTGTGTGTGTGTGTGTGTGTGTGTGTGTGTGTGTGTGTGTGTGTGTGTGTGTGTTTCTTTTTTTGAGTGCTTATGTGGTTGGGATGAGGGTTTACATGGATGGTTAACATTAGATAGTTGGATGGATGGTTAGTTGGGTGGATGGATGGATAGTTACGATGGATGAATTGTTGGTTATGAATGGATGAGTAAACGAGTCCTTCTTTAGTTGGTTGAATGTTTTTTTTTGTTTTTATTTGTTTTATTTTATTTCATCTAACATCTCTCGTCCTATTACTCCTCGTTCAAAATGTCACAAATCGAATAAAGTTCACCAATTAAGTTATTATCTCACATTATGAGATGTTTATTCACTGACCAACATGTGGCAAGATCAAGATGAGTTGCCAGTTAGCGAAAAAAAGAAAAATTTGTGCTCCATCTTTTTTCAAAATTATGTGAATTTTCTAATTAGATTTGTTGTTGTTCTCATTATGGATAAAGAGACACAGTTGGATATTTTATAATGAGCCACAACGAAGTTTTATGAGGATGATTCATAGGATATAATCGTAAGAAAGAGTGAATTATAGCGCACTTGTTCTCTTTGGATTAATCAGGAAGATTTCGTGTTTGAACATACAGGCGACGTCCAATTAGGCCAACACTTAAGCGTTATTAATGATGTTGAGGAACCGCCATCGTCGTCATTATCGCCTCCGTCATTATTTGCTCAAGCACAGTTCTGACTTTTAATCGTTTTTTGTCTTATAATTGTTTTTATTTCAATTTCTCTTCTTGTCTTTTGACTGTCACGTAACTTTTCCAATTTAGTTCCTCTTTTGATTGCATTCTCTCTCTCCTTTATCTTCCTTTGTATCCTTTTCATTTTTCTCGAACTTTATTCTCTTCTTTCATTCCATTCGTATTTCTCGATGAGCGCCTCGGAGATACAGCTTATTTCTTTTGTTATTAAATATTAAATGTTGTTCTTTTGTTGTTGTTGTTGTTGTTGTCTTCATTTCTGTTGGGTGATTCAGCGGCTGTTGGATAGGAGGAGGAAGGATGGATGGACAGTTGATAGGATGTGTGAGTGAGTGGACGGAGGGCGAGGTGGATGGATGATAGGTGAATGGAAGGGTAGATGGACGGTTGGCCTGGTAGGTGGATGGATGGATAGGTGACTGTATGGCTAGAATGCAATGATAGCTAACTGGATGGAGGGGTGGATAACGCAGAGAGATAGACCGAGAGAGATGGATGAAAGGATGCCAGTGCGGATACAGACTAACCCATGCCCCTGCGACCAGCCTGACCCCCCCCCTCCCCCCTCCCACAGGTGGCCCTGATCTTCCGCGACGCGAGCATCGGCAACCGCATCGACATCGCCGTGGTGGAGGTCCTGCGTCCGGAGCGGCAGTCGTTCGTGCCGAAGCGATCCTACGAGAACAACGCCGAGTCGATGGGCAAGTCGGCCGAGGAGATGCTCAAG